TGAGGGAAGTGAGAGTGACGTCGTGAACTTGGACGAGAACGCTGTCCCTCGGTGCAGCTTTGAAAGTTCAGTATTAGAGTTTGTCTTCCTGCTCCCCGCCTAAGATTAAGATGTAAGCAAACCTTTTAAAGATCCGGGTCAAATTTTCAAAAGTAAAACTGGCAGAATTGAAATAGAATTCATGACAAACCTCTCTTCCCTCATCCTTTGAAGAACTGAAAAAAGGAATCTCAGGGAACCACAGAAATGAAACCTGGGAGAGAATCTGGGAAATAAGGCCTGTGACTGATGAATGGATTCCCCTGGTCATCCTGTTTGAGTGTCCCACTACTAGGGACTCTGTACTGAGAGCTAAGGGTTAGTAACTTTATTTCCCCGTTGACCTTCATACCTTGAACACTACCCTGAACTCTTAAGACCTAATGGACAGTCACAAGAAAGAAACGTTGAGGGCTGCTGTAGCTCAGCTGGTGGAGCGCTTGCCTAGCACTCATGAATCCCTAGGTTTGATCCCTAGTACCACATGAACTGGGCACGGTGGCACCTCCCTGTAATCTCAGTACTAGGGGGGTGGAATCAGGAAGATCAAAAGTGCAAGCTCATCCTTGGCTCCACAGCAAATCTAAGGCCTGCACTGGCTATCTGAGACCCTGTCTCAAAATAAACAAAAAACTGAGTTTGAATCTGGAGTAAGAAACATGAGATGAAACCTTGGCACCCAGAGCAGTGAGAGGAAGGGGGATAAGAATTCTCGTCCTTTCTCCTCAGCACTGGGAATGCTGGCCAGCTTGCTCAGTTCCCCGCTCCTCAAACGCTCCATTCTCTTTCCAGCTTTTTCTTTGTGCTCAGTGTCCTTTCTCCTCATTTAGATCCCAACCTAGAGCTATATTTTTATGCTTTTAAGAAAAATAAAATTTGGAATACAAAACCAAAACTAAATCCAACATATTATAAATTATAAATCTGATACAAAAAGAAATTGAGTGACTTCTTAAGATAGTAAATACACACACACACACACACACACACACACACACACACACACACACACAATTAAGCTCCTAGATTCTAGAAATATCATGGCCAGATACACATGAACTCTGGGGACATGAGATAGTGCTTATTCCACATTGAGTTCCAAACACAGTCTTTACTGTGTGCCTATTAAGGTTCTAGCTTCAAAGAGTCAGGGTGATAAGCCTGAATGGAGGGAACTGGGTAGAGAGAGGAGCTGAGTGAAGACAGCCACTGACTCCATACAGGGGACTCCTCTACATATGAGTTCATGACCTTTGCATCCTGACTGGTGTGTGCTCATATTTGGCTTTATTTATTTTGTTTCCTCTACTTCTCCCGACTACTAAACCCAGTGTCCATTAACATAAACATATGAACTGAACATTTAGTAGATAAACTACTTTAACAGACCTCACAGAATCCAGCTTCACTTTTGTCAGGTGCAAGGCAGGAATGTTTTCAAGCCCCAAAAGAAGAGCAAATGCCTGGAGAGAGGGCTCAGTCAGTGAAGGGTTTGTCCTGCAAATACAGGATGCAGTTCAATCCCCAGAGCGCCTCCCACAAAAAGCCAGAAGTGATGGAGTACATTTGTAATCCCAGAGCTGGGGAGGTGGAGGCAGGAGGATTCCTGGGGCTCATTGTCTAACTGTCGTCAGTTTCCAGTCCAGTCCAGTGAAAGACCTTGTTTCAAAAAATAAGGTGGGTATTTGGGCAGTCATGTAGATGAGACTTTCTAGGTGTAGCTTCTGCTGTTCCTAGGAGACACACTCTCACAGCACACTCCCTGATCCTCTGGCTCTTACAGTCTTTCCTCCCCCTCTTCTGCAATGTTCCCCGAGCCTTAGGTGTGGGAGTGTTTTGTAGATGTTTCCATTGTGCTGGGTTCTACAACTCAGTATTTTGATCAGCTGTTGGTTTCTGTAGTGGTTTTTGTCTGCTTCAAAGAGAAGTTTCCTTGATGACGGGTGAAGACTGTACTTCTATCTAAAGATCTGGAACTAGGAATCTCAGATGAGAGAAAACATGAGATGTTTGTCTTTCTGAGTCTAGTTTATCTCACTGCAGGAGTCCAGCTCTGACCTGTTGAAGGGTTCTTGGAGGGAGGAGAGAAGACTGAGGAAGTATCAGATAGAAATACAGATGGAGATGATGAGAAAGAGAGAGACAGAATAGATTGAGGAGGGCCCTGGTTTAATACTCAGTCGCCCTGACTTTATTCATAATGAGCCTTTTATACATCAGCAAGGGGAAGGGCAAAGGACCTCCTCTTCCAAAGTTGAGGTATGAAGTACCAACAAGTGTAGACTTTTCAAAACACCTGATACCCATGTCTTTGGCCAAATCATCCTATTATGCAGCCGTGCTGGGCAAAGCAAGTTCAGAATTTCTGACCTTGAGTAAGGCCTTACTAGGGAACCTCTGTGGGCCTCCACATCTCACCCAACATGGTCTTTTCTAGTTTCATCCATTTACCTGCCAATTTTATGATTTAATTTTAATAGCTGTATAGTATTCCACAGTGTATATGTACTACATTTTTATTATCTACTCATCAGTTGAAAGACATTTATGTTCTTTCCATTTCCCAGCTGGAAATGGAATGGTTTTTTGTTGTTGTTTTTTGATTTGCATTTCCCTAGTTGCTAGGGATGATGAACAGTTTGTGAGATATTTCTTAGTCATGTACTTTTCTTCTTTTGAGAACTCTCTGTTCAGGCCCTGGGCCCATTTACTGAAGAGGTCATTCATTTTTGAGTTTTGCATTTTTGAACTCTTACTGTGTTCTGGATACTAATCTTCTGTCAGATATATAGCTGGCAAAGATCCTCTCCCCTTCTGTGGGCTTCCTCTCTATCTAGAGGGTTGTTTCTTTAGCTGTGCAAAGCTTTTTAGTTTTATGAAATCCTGCCTGTCAATTGCTGGCCTTAACTCTTGGACAAATGGAGTCCTATTTAGAAAGCCCTGAAGGAAAAAAGCAATATACATACTAACATGTATGGAGGAAAGCCCAAGAGGCCTTGACCCTACACAAAGGACAACAGGCAACAAAACATTGCTAAGAGCAGGAGAAACGGTCATCCCTAGAGAAGAGCACAGCAGCTGGTTAGCCAAGTGGTCAGCCCTGAAAACACACACACACACACACACACACACACACACACACACACACACACGTGACATTACACAGACTGAGCCAGCTGCATTCATGTATGTAGGGATATATATGTATACACATATGTGTATGGAAGAACTGTTCGTGAAAAAAGAGCCCATGAATTTGGAAGAGAGCAACGAAGAGCACAAGGGAGAGTTTGGAAGGAGGAAAGGGGAGGGGAAACCGTGTAACTCATTTATAATCTCAAAAGGTAAACTAAAGGATTTTTAGGAATCAAGGTGGATGGGGTATAAGGAATGACAGATGAAGTTGTCCTGGGCCTCCACACACATATATGCATATCTGCATACATATGAACATATACATCCACACAAGAACACACACACACACACACACACACACACACACACACATACACACACTTTCCTTTACCACTCTTCTGTTAATTTAAAATGATCACACATTCTCACATGTATCCAACACACAATTCCAGCCCATACTGCCTCTTCCTGTGTGACATGGACAGTACACGGGGTCTTGGCAACATGACACACAGAATTAAACTGATAGTTGCTCCTTAGTGTTTGTTTTCATGGAACCCTGAGACAGAAGACCATGTAGACAGAGAATCCAGTCACCCCACCTCTCCCAGAGAAGCCCAGACTCAAGCTGGTCTTCCAATTCAAAGTAGGGTGTAGAGGAGTGTCTTAGTCACTGTTCTATTTCTGTGAAGAGACAACATGACCACAGCAACACATAAAAGAAAGCATCTAATTGGGGGCTGGCTTACAGCTTCAGAGGGTCAGTCCAATATCATCATGGCCCTGAGCATGGTGGCAAGCATGCAACTGAACAGTAACAGAGAGCTATATACTGATCTGGAGCAGAAAGAGACTGGGCCTGCCATGGGCTTGAACCCTCAAAGCCCACCCCAGTGATATACTTTCTTCAACAAGGCCATCTGTCCTAATCTTTCTAATCCTATCAAAGAGTTCTACTCCCTGGTGACTAAGTGTTCAAATATATGAGCCTATGAGGGCCATTCAAACCACCACAAGGAAGACCAAGAGGTCAAAATCATCCTTGCCTACAAATCAAGTTCTAGGCCAAATCATGTCTTAAAACACTAAAAACATCTATCAGGAATAGAGACAAAGCTGAGTGGCTAAAAGTGCCATGCAAGCCTAGCCATGTAAGTTTAGATTCCCCAGAACCCACAGAAGAAGCTGGTAATGGCATGCATTTGTGATCCTAGCATTCCTACAGCAAGAGGGGTGGCAGAGGCATGAGAACTGATCAGACGCTCATGGACCAGCCAGCCTATGGGGACCCAGCAGAGTGGAAACACAAGAGAGATCCTGTCTCACTGAATACAGTAGCACATGCCTTTAATTCCAGCATACAGGTGGCAGAAGCAAGAGTTCAAGACCAACCAGGTCTATAATAGCAAGTTTCAAGCCAGTCAGGGTTGAATAGTGAGACCCTGTCTCAAAAAGAAAAAAGAGGAAGATCAGGAGGAGGAGGAAGATTCTGTCTCTACAAAGTGGAAAGAATCAGCTACCAAGCATTGTCCTCTGACCTTCATCTACACATGGGGCATGCATGTGCACACACACACACACACACACACACACACACACACACACACACACACACACCCATATACTTTACAAACAATGAATTAATAAATTAAAAAAATTAAACCTATAAAATGGATGGTCATGAATAAATGAACAGTTTTGTATTTCATAGACAAGCATCCTGAGTGTCCCAGGCATACTTTTATTATAAGAGGAGTCACGGTGGCCTTCCAGTTTTTCCTCTTGTGATTACGCATGTCAGAAAATGGAAGTTCTCTGTACAGAACCTCTGGATAAGGTGGCTTAAATGATCTCCTCTTGGTTGTGACCTCTGCCCACCAGACCCTTCTGGGGATTGGGGATATTACTTGACAGTGCTTGGCTGCAGATCTCAAGTTAACACGCAATTGCTCCAAGTGCTTGACTAGCAAAGTCCTGGCATGATCTCTGTGGAACAAAGGCTCCAGCATGGAAGAGGCATCTGTGGGGACAGGAGCGTGACTTGGGTAAGTAAGCTGAACCAGGACTCAAGCAGGCCAACAGTGTGCCTCATCAGAAGTGCCCGACAACCAGCCACCCCAGGCCCACCCAATCCATATGAACGTGACACCCAAGAGCCAGTGATGACTGATGACTGAAGGCTAAGCACCCTATCACTGGGCCAGTGTATGAAAAACAATACACCATTCAGTAGCAGCTATTTCTGTAGGGTATAATTATAGTTATAAACCTGCCATCCTTCCCACCACATTAGAAAAATGCCTTCCCTGTACACCAGTGGCCTCAGGCCTTGAAGAATGAAGAAGGCTCTAAACATGGTAGACCCCAGAAAACCCCTGCTGCTGATGGAGGAGTGCAGACTGACAGAAAGACCAGGCAACATCCTGCACCCATCACAGCAGGGTGGCAGTACCTCTCCCCGTTAGGTCAAGATTGGGGTGTAGGTGAACAGAAAGGTGAGGCTGCAAAGCTTGAAACAGAACCTCTAACTGAGATGTAGAAGTAAGTCATGCTCCGCAGACATCAATCATCATGTCCCTGTGCCCTCTGCCCTCAGAGACAGCCTTGTGTCCTCCAAAGGCAGCCTCTGACCTGGGGTGACCTGCTAAGAGCTGCTCTGGAGCAGATCCAACTCATTGGGTGGCCTAGAGCAAGTTCACCCAGTCTCTGAATTACAGTGGGGTTGGTCTGCCAAAGAAACGTGTGACAGAAGAACTCTCGGGCCACTGTGAGCTTAGAAGGCCACAGGCGCAAGCCAGCCCTAACACTTGTCTCCTCAGAAGGCAAACACAAAATAACTGTGCTGGGAGATTGCTCAGTCAGTAAACTGCTTACCATGAGTACTTGAGTTCTGTCCTCCCGACCACATTAAAAAGCTGGGTGTGATGGCATGTGCCTGCCATCCCAACAATGGGGGAGCAGAAACAGGAGGATCCCTGGGGCTCACCAGCCAGCCAGCCTAGCTGAATTTGTGAGCCTCAGGTCCTGGTCTGAGATCCTGTCTCACAATCAAAGTGAAGGCTCCTGAGGAATGTCACCCAAGGATGACCTCCGGCCTCCACACAGGTATGCATGTGCACACATGCCCCGGAACACATAGAAAGAGGTGAATGCAAAAATAAACATTTACCAGTCGCTAAGCACATAGGAAGAGTTCTCTGAAGAGCTGTCCTGTAAAATGGAACTTCGTTCCAGGCACTATGTGACTGGTCTCTAAAGCAAACTTTAAAGGTTGGTTCATTCTGACAACACATCTTGAAGGTACTATAGGCTGGGGCACCACTGAGGAATGACAGACAGGATCGTACACCCTATGGAAAGCTATGGCCATATGGCAAATGGGCTGACATTCCAGTCCACGGGTTTGGACCTGGGTCTACAGGGAATGGGCCTCCATGGACCTTCAGCTAGTGTGTGGGGCTCAATAGAGAGCCACCCTGTTAGGAGGGTCCACGGCAGGGAAGAAGCAGGTGTCATGGTGGCCACAAAGAAGTCTGCTGAAGAACCTAAGAGCTGGAGGAAGGGTGCAGTGTTCCAGGCATGACACACCATGGCATTAGTGAGCTCACAGGAGCTGCGATTGTCTGGATGAGATCTGGACCCATCATCACTCCATCGTGCAGTGGGGAGGGGCTCACGAGGCCTGGCCCCTCCCTGAGGAGCTGCAAGCAGTTAATTGTTGCTGGGGAGGGGAAGGACAGACTTTTCCTTCAGTGACGTAGCCCCTGTTAGGGGCCCCTCTCCTGTAAATGACTTCACCCTATACCTATACAGCTGTTCTGTAAGCAACCCTGATTAAACTCACTGGGTCACAGGAAGAAGAAAAAAACAGAAAAGTAGGAGAAGGGCTAAGTGGGAAGAGGAAGGGTTTGGGCAGGAGTGGGGGGGGATGAGAGAGGGGAACTAGCTAAATATTGTCAAAATACATTATGTACGTGTATAAAATGTCATAATGAAATCCATTCGTATGTGTACTTAATACAATATACATGGGGCTTTTTTTTTTTTTTTTTTTTTTTAACTTGCTCAAGAGCTGGGACTGAAAAGGAAAAGACTAACTGTACCTGAGTGGCAGGCTACCTGTGGTTACCACAAGGGGCAAATAACTGCCAGCCGAGTAGCCATTTTGCTGTTTGGCATTAACTCTGTGGTCCACAGCTCTGCTGTGCCACAGGCTCAGACCCCAGGAGCACCACGGAGGACCAGGCACTGCCGGGGTCAGGATCCATGCCTGGAAGATGTGCTATTTCCCAGCTCTTTCCCTTGACTGGTAGCCTGGCTCCTTGAAGCCTGGGAAGCCATCGACGTGCCCCCGTGAACACGTGTTCTGTGTTATGAGGGAGCCCAGAGAGATGATAGGAATGAATTTCAGAGAACTTTTGAAAGTTTCTCCGTAAGATACGAGCCGAGGAAAACTAGCTAAGAAGAGGGAGTTGGCTGGATAGCATGAGGAAAGCATTCTGTGACATCATCACCAAAGGAGGGGAGAAGGGACAAGAAGCTAGGAAGTGAAGAGGAGTGTCAGGTGAAGACCTGAAGTTTCCGGTTTGGAAACAGAAATATAAGACAGTGCAAATAAGTTATGTTTTTCAAAATTTCAAGCGGTAGCCAGGCATAGCGAATCATGCCTATGTACTGGTTAGGCTTGTGGTTTGGGGTGTGTTGTTTCTGTCAATTTGACACCAGCTCAAATCATCTGGAAGAAGGAACCACAATTAAGAAAAAGCCTCTATCAGACTGGCCCGAGGGCAAGCCTGTAGGGCATTTTCTTAATTAATATTGACGTTGGAGGGCCCAGCCCTTGGTGGGCTGTGCCATCCCTGAGCAGGTGATCTTGGGTTGTAAAACAAAGCAGGATGAGCAAGCCTTGGAGTGCAAGCAAGTGCGTTTCTGTTCTTGCCTCCAGGCTCCTGCCCTGCTTGAGTTTCAGCTCTGACTTCCTTCAGTGCTGGACTGTTACCTCAAAGTATACGACACAACAAACCCTCTCCTCCCCAAGGTGTTTTTGTCATGGTGTTTATGGCCACAATCATAAACAACTGGGACAGCTCATAATCTCAGCACTTCAGAGGTGGAGGCAGGAGGATCTTTGCAAACTCAAAGCCAGCATCTTAGTTATTTTCTATTGCTGTCCAGAGGTACCATGACCAAGGCAACTTAGAAGAGAAAGCATTTAGTTGAGAGCTTCCTTACAGTTTTAGAGGATTAGTCCGTAACTGTCATGGTGGGAAGCAGGCAGGTAGGCATGGTGCTGGAGAAGTAACAGAGAGCTAATTGGAATGCCATAGGCTCTTGAAATCTCAAAGCTCGCCCACAGTGACACACTTCCTCCAACATGATATGCACAGTGTCACTTTCTCCTTACCAAACAGTTCCACCAATTGGAGACAAAGCATTCACTCAAATCACCATGGCCAGACTGTCTTACAACAAAAGAAAGAAAGAGAGAAAGAAAGGAAGGAAGGAAGGAAGGAAGGAAGGAAGGAAGGAAGGAAGGAAGGAAGGAAGGAAGGAAGAAACAAAGAAACAAAGAAAGAAACAAAGAAAGGAAAAGAAGAGAAAAAAGAAAGGAAAAAAGGGTAGTTTTGTGTTCCATATGGTGATGTGCACTCCTATAATTCTGGCACTTGGGAGATGGAGTCAGAAGGATCAAGAATTCAAGGTTATTCTTGCCTGCAAAGCCAGTTTGAGGACAACCTGGGCTTCATGGGACCCTATTTCAAGGAAAAAATTAAGAAGTCAAGTAATCAATACATTTTACCCAAGTATTCTATTTTAAGAATTCATCCTACAGCAAAACTGACATGATACATATGCAGATATTCGCTGAAGCAAACAAGGAAAACTGTCTAAATATCCACTAAAAAAAAACTAAACTAAATTATAATATGGACACACAGCATGTAGCCATTCAAACAACAAGCTGATCTATCTCTATGTATCAACATGGGAAGATGTCTAAATTGGACCATTGCATCTGAGAAGCCACAGAGTGATATATACATTTGGGGATAAAAATGTATGTATGTATATTCATTTAAGAATAACTCAAAAAGAATATACCAAATCCATTAGTGGCTATTTTGAGAATTATATATTATTTAAATTTCTTTTTCGAGAGTGTCTATTTTCACTCAAGTAGTCAAGAAAAGTATGTTTCTTGGGTTTTTTAACCAACTGTTATAGAGGATAACAGGAGACATGTTCAGGCTTAGGGAAGGGGCTGAGTGTAGGCTCCAGGCACCTTCCAGTGTGTGGGAGGAGGGGGTGGGGCAGCATTTTGTTTCCATTGACTTGAAACAGCAGCAGATTTCCCACTTGGGAAAAGAGAAAAACAAGTCTGAAAACCTTTGCTCAGCTTCATTGAGATCTGGTAAAGGCCCAGTCCAGCCTTGAGCTGTGCAAGAGTCCTGGACACTGGACCTGGGGTGAGGGAGAGTATGTAGGTGGGCAGGGCATGGGCAGTCAGGAGAGTTGGCAGAGCTGGGATGGAAAGGTGGGCAGGGCAAGGGCAGGGCTGTGCAGGAGTGTGAGCTGTGTCCTGGAGGGGGAAGTAGGAGAGGGTAGGGACAGAAAGGCTGGAGCAAAAAGAACTTGAATGTTTCCACTGAGGACCTCACCGTACCATCTGGGTGGAGGCTTTCACTTCTCTGGGCTTTCTTCTGTTTTCCCTTTTCCCATCTAGCTCTACAGTGGTTTAAAAGAAAATGGCCCCCATAGGCTCATAAGGAGGGGCACTACTAGGAGGTGTGGCCTTGTTAGAGAACATGTGGCCTTGTTGGAGGAAGTGTGTCACTGGAGGCAGGCTTTGAGGTCTCAGATGCTCAAGCCAGTGTGGCATTCTCTTCCTCCTTCCTGTAGATCCAGATGTAGAATATCTCCAGCACCATGTCTGCCTGCACACTGCCATGCTTCCCACTATGATGATAATGGACTAAACCTCTGAACTGTAGGCCAGCCCCCATTAAATGTTTTCCTTTA